TATTTTTCTCCCAAAGCCCCAGTAGATAGTTGTATGTCATAGTTGCACATCCTTCTAGTTGTTGTATGTGGGATGCGGCCTCAGCATGGCCGGAGAAGCCGTGTGTCGGTGCGCGCCCGGGATCTGAACCCGGGCCGCCAGTAGCGGACCGTGTGCACTTAACTGCTAAGCCACGGGGCCGGCCCTGAATAATAAGTCTTGAAAGTTGAAATTATTCCTTGATCCATGGGCTGCAGAATGGATATTGTTTTAGCAGGCATGAAAACAATATTAATCTTGTCGTACATCTCCATCAGAGCTCTTGGGTGACCAGGTGCATTGTCAAAGAGCAGTAATATTTTGAAAGGAATCTTTTTTTATGAGCAGTGGGTCTCAACAGTGGGCTTAAAATATTCAGTAAACCATGCTGGAAATACATGTGCTGTCCTCCAGGCTTTGTTGTTCCACTTATAGAGCACAGAGTAGATTTAGCATAATTCTTAAGGGCCCTAGGATTTTCAGAATGGTAAATGAGCATTTGCTTCAACTTAAAGTCACCAGCTGCATTAGCTGCATTAGCCCCTAACAAGAGAGTGAGCCTGTGCTTTGAAGCTTTGAAGCCAGGCCTTGACTTCTCGTCTCTAGCTATGAAAGTCCTAGATGGCATCTTCTTCCAATAGAAGGCTGTTTCATCTGCACTGAAAATCTGTTATTTAGTGTAGCCACCTTCATTAATTATCTTAGCTAGACCTTCTGGATAACTTGCTGTAGCTTCTACATCAGCACTGGCTGCTTCACTTTGCACTTTTATGTTATGGAGATGGCTTCCTTCCTTAAACCTCATGAACTAATCTCTGCTGGCTTCAATCTTTTCTTTTGCAGCTTCCTCACCTCTCTCAGTTTTCATAGAATTGAAGAGAGTTAGGGCCTTGCTCTGGATTAGGCTTTGTCTTAAGGGAATGTTGTGGCTAGTTTGATCTTCTATCCAGACCACTAAAACCTTCTCCATATCAGCAATAAGGCTGTTTTGCTTTCTTATTATTCGTGTGTTAACTGGAGTAGCACTTTTCCTTTGCATTCACAACTTGGCTAACTGTTTGGTGCAAGAAGCCTAGTTTTTGGCCTGTCTCAGCTTTCGACATGCCTTCCTCACTAAGCTTCGTCATTTCTAGCTTTTGATTTAATGTGAGAGATGTGCGACTCTTCCTTTCACTTGAACACTTAGAGGCCACTGTAGGGTTATTAATTGGCCTAATTTCAATATTGTTGTGTCTCAGGGAATAGGGAGGCCTGAAGAGAGGGAGAGAGATGGGGGAACGGCTCGTTGGTGGAGCAGTCACACACAACATTTATCGATTAAGCTTGCCATCTTATATGGGCATGGTTTGTGGCGCCTCAAAGCAATTACAATAGTAACATCAAAGATCACTGATTGCAGGTCACCATAACAACTATAATCATGAAAAAGTTTGAAATATTGCAAGAATTACCAAAATGTGACAGAGAGACACAAAATGAGCAAATGCTGTTGGAAAACTGGCACTGACAGACTCGCTCAAAGCAAGGTTGCCACAAACCTTCAATCTGTACAAAGTGCAATGCAGTCACGTGTCGCTTAATGACAGGGATACATTCCGAGATGTGTTGTCAGGCAATTCTGTCATTGTGTCAACATCATAGAGTGTACTTACACAAACCTAGAGGGTATAGCCTACCACACCCCTAGGTTATATGGTACTAATCTTATGGGACCACCGTTGTATATGTGGTCCATTGTTGACCAAAATGTCATTATGTGGCGCATGACTGTACCTGTGAAGCACAATAAAACAAAGTGCAATAAAACGAGGTATGCCTGTATTAAATAGCAGCTAGGATTTAAACTTATTTGTATCCCCAGGCCAGTGCTCTTTCCCTTGTAGATGGCTACCTAACTTCTAAACTTTTGGTACTTAATTGTTAGTACTTCTAATTGCTTATTAAAGCATACAGTGGTTTTAAAGAAAAAGAAGCTGAATTTTAGAAGCTGAAGTGAAGTATGTTTCCATACTTAAAATTGTGACTTTAGTTATTCTCTGCTGATAGATGTTACAAAGAACAGCCTGTGAAATTTGACACTGGTCTCACTATGATTGTTAAGGATATAATTCTCTGCCTTACACAGTGTCCTTTTTATGAAGACCCATGGGAAGATTTCCTTCTGGCTGTATGATGAGGAATAAATGTCCTCTCTTATGCAGAATCAGTGAGCTTTAACTTAGGGACACTGAAGTGTGTAACTCTTAATGTATTCCTCTTCATATTGTCTGTCAGAAAGCTCAGAGTCAAATTTGTGGTTTGTTCTTAGCAAATGTACACAATCTCATGGTTTGCATTTTGTGTACTAGCTAATTCCTGGCTCCATTTTACGATTCTAATGTTGTTTTTCATCTGTTCATCTTTGTTACTTACTTTTTTTTAACTTTTATTTATTTATGTTTTTCCCCCCAAAGCCCCAGTAGATAGTTGTATGTCATAACTGCACATCCTTCTAGTTGCTGTATGTGGGACGCGGCCTCAGCATGGCCGGAGAAGCGGTGTGTCGGTGCGCGCCCGGGATCCAAACCCGGGCCGCCAGCAGCAGAGTGTGTGCACTTAACCGCTAAGCCACGGCGCCGGCCCTTTGTTACTTACTTCTGATATTAGTGTTTATGTTATAATTATGATGCCTATTTGCAGCTAGACACCTATTTGGAATAAGAAATTATATATAAATCAAGATATTCATGACTATGAACACATTTATAATTATATATAACTATATATAATTATAAATACATTAATATATATTATATATATATAAACAAGGTTATTTTATTACTTCCTTTTTATTTTTTTGCACACGAATTAATAAATAAACTACTGCAACGGGGGAAAAAAAAAGTAAGCAGAATCCAAACATCCTCTCTGTTGCCATTGAGTTATATAAGAAGGACGAATTCAACTAGTTGGCAGTGAAGAATTCCTCCAATGCCACGCTCCAAATCAGAGCCCCTGCACCGGCCTTAAATCCGGAGGGAAAGCCAGCACCAGCACCAGCACCAGCACAGAAAGTGGGACGAAGTTCTGCCAGCAGCTAACAATATTCCTGCTCCTGGGGGGACAGCAGTCCCATGTCAGAGAAGTAGGCCCGGCTGAAAGCCACCAGCCCTACACACCGCCTAGTATCTGCAAATGGCTACAAGTCCAGTTCAATAGAACACAAATTCAGTCCAAGGAACTTGAAGCCACAGAATGTAGTTATCTATGGAAGTGTTCCTGAAAGTAAGTGGTGAACCAAATTTTTAAGAAGATGTTCCATGGTCAGGCATCCAATGGGAAGCTAGGAGAACACTTGGCTGCAGGAGGGGACGCAACCTTGTCTCAAACCCTGGGGGTCTGTGTGAGATTCTCTTATCTGGGCTTGCCAGGGGCTCCATACAGCATCCCTATTTGCCAGCGACTTTTTTGAGTACCATCCGCCCACGTGGCAGAGCAGCTTGTACTGAAGCCTTGACTGTAGCATAGCCGTCTCTTGCTCCAGGCCCCCTCGGAACTGGCTGCCCCTGGGTTACCTGGCAATTGGGTCAGAGCAGCTAGCTCGAATGGCATGCGCGTTGCCTCTAAAATCCAAAATGACACCAAACACTGTGCCTTTTTCTTGATGGTAGGTGGTACAATGTGTTACAACTTGTTTCACTTTGGAAGTGACATCCCACTGGCTCCCTAGAAACTTCCTCAAAGTGGTAGTGAAACCAGGGGCCAACTTGCTTTAACTATACTCTTTTGTCCCCTTTGTTGTCTGTTTCAAAAGTAGTTAGA